GAGCCTTTTCATGAAAAACTCAAAAAAATACAATGTTATTGCTAGATATGACACTTCATCTAGTCAGCTTTAGCTTCTTAGCTTATCTACATGCTAACAAAATACTTCGGACAAAAATCTGGATAAACACATACAGACAGAAATACATTACATGCAAACAAAAACTCACGCGCGCACAAACACATACACGAACAAGCACACGTAAACACATGCAAACACATAGGGTCTCGACAGTATGCTTTTGAACCAATGATGCAGTAGAAAATGCATAACTCTGGAGTTTGCGGTGAAGGAATGCCGAAAGAGATAAGACAAACAGACACTTGCAAAAATTTTCATGTACTTATTTCATCAGTTCCTACGGAATGTACTTCTCATTTTGTTTTTTATTGCCAACTGTGTAACTGTAGACCAACACAGAGCGTATAATAAGTACAAGAAATCATCAGAACTGAACAAAATTGGCGCGAAAAAATTTGAATGGGAGACGAAAAAATTGCAGTAGCAATCGGTTTTCTAATATCCTGAATAAGAAAGACAACGAAAAAGTGGAATAAATCTAGAACAGTACGAATATCAATAAAAGGACAATGCGAAAACTTATGACGCTGCACAGCAGAAACGCATAAAAGTGAGGTACGTAACCTGTTTCACTGTTCAGTAGTCCGTAATCCAAGCCAAATATGACATTCGCCAGGAAAAATGCTGCAGCTCCGGTAACACTTGGCCGAAAGCGTACAAAGGTATGCTCAAGGAGAGCAAGCTCCAGCAAGTACCGCACCATGTAGTAGACTTTCGCTGGTGAATTAGCAATCTTTAACAGTCGGTAGGCAAACCACCACGATGTTGGGGTAACCACTTGATAATCGAGTTTTGCAAATACTATCCGTTCCATGCTTACTATCTGTAATAAGAATGACAAGGATGTTCCTCCACTTTTCTTGCTGTTTTTCGAGTTCATCTGTGCGTATTATTTGCCACCTAGTGCTATCTACTTGTCAAATATTAACACAAAATGTCAATTCGAACTTTTCAGCGACTATGAGATCGACAAGGGAAAAAAAAGTTACAACATCGGTGCGAAGAATAGCTCTCTAGCTTTAAGTATGCCCAATTCCAAAATTGGATCAAACTCACGCACTTATGAAAAATAAACTCCTGCAGCAGCTCTTCAATACATCGCCCCTAGTTTCGAGTATATAA